TCTCCCCGGCGATGAAAAATTAGCTCCGGTGCGGTGCTCGGGTTTCGTGAAGACGCGCGAAGTCGTTTGCAACAGTCATCCCGTCGCATCGCGCGGGGTGAAGTTTTCTCGGTCGCCTGTCGTCGCGTCGCCGCCGCAATTTCCCTCGTTTTTCGCGACGGTGCGACTTATAAACTATGTGAGTGATGTATACTTCCTTCGGTTTCCCATGTAAATTCCTGCCCAATGCCCCGGATCCCCTCCCCCTTCCCCCGCCCCCTACTATTGAGTTCCTCCAGTCTCCTGTCTCAACTTCGACCTCATACTCTCCGGATTTTTACGGCACATTCCTTCGCCAGCGTTGCCGCTTGATTAAAGGTCGTTGCTCCCTTTCAATGTCTGTCAAAAGTTCCGTGATTGGGAACTTGCTGTTCCAATTTCTCCCACTCTGTGACCGTCAAAGGTTCCGGGATTCGTTTTAGATTTTTTCAAAAGTTCCGAGAAAGTGCCAGAAAATGCTAGAAATCCGGAAAATTTCGAGAATCTTAAAGGCTACGGGAAAAATTCAGCAAAATCTCAAAAGTTCCGAAAATCCGTACTGGTTCCAGGAAATGGGATCATTAAGTTTCAATATCGCTAGACACGTAAAAAAAAGAGGTATGGGTTCAGACCTCACTTGGGCATTTTCAATTAATTGTGGTAGTACTTACCCTGATAAATAAGGTTACTAATTCAAATGTTCCGGTACTGCCTTAACTTGAGTTGCTGTGTTACTGCAAATAACGGGAAATGCTCACATCAAAAAAGGGGTGGTACCGCCGTTTTAAAGGATAACCCCTAACACTTTTTTCCCATGGGGCGTGGTGTCAAGGCACGAGGAAACCGGGATGAATCAGGGAAAAATGAGGGAACTTGTTTCAAAAATCAGGAATATCCTCTTCTATCGCTTATAGAGAACTTTTTCAAGGTTTATGTGTTAAATCTTTTTTACCGTTTGTGACATACATGAGCCACCTTAACTTTAGGCACCTAATCTTCAGCTTTTGCGCAATGCATCCTGGGTAGGATCGATTTAGTTTAAATTTAAAGCAGTTGGTGGATTATTTTGGGCATATCAAACCTTTTTGTTTGTAGATCAATTATACAAGAATGTTCGTACCGAACATCATTTTCCAAAATCTTAGAAGAAAGCCAAAAGTACTGTTGCCATACCGCAGCCAATTTCAATGTGTCGGTAACAATGGTCACTCAGAAACAGTACATGTGTAGTAGTAATATTATAATTAGTAGTAATAAAAGTAGTAGTAGTAGTGGCAGATAGAACACATAACGGTGCCCAAGTAACTTCGGCCATCATCACCTCTACAATTCAAGTACAGATTTTGTTACAAAATTGGTAAATTGGCACCAGAAAAACAAGAACGTAAAATTTAGAGGATAGGAAGAACAAAATTTACAACGAGAATAGTAGTAGACTTTTTTCAAACATTCCTCAATGATTCATCCACAGACTAAAATGTACAGCTTCCCAAAATAATCCCCCCAAAGGCTAAAATTTGAAATATATCGAACATAATCAAGATTCATTACGCAAAGCTGAAGATCCATCTTAAACCTCCCTATCTGAGTACTCCAATGTTTATCAGCTTCAACGATCCAGACTAAGAAAATTGCATGAGTGGCTCTGCTCCACCGAAAACGAGGGTAGAATACTGCCGTGCTAAGGAAAAACGCCGTATGAGCGTTCAGACTTTGCCAAGTTTCTTGCAATAAAAACCGCATTTACTGGAAAAATTGCGGATATTATTTTCAAAAATTCTCAGACAATTTTGCACGCAATTCAATCTAAAATATCTGAAAATTTCAAGGAAAAAGATGCAATAATGTTATCAAAATTACATGTTTTATCAAGGGAAATCTGGCAACTCCCGAATGTTCATACGGCGTTCTTCCTTTAGTACGGCAGAATAAGTTTCCATAAATCCTGGACAGTGGCGTGGCGTGAATTGCGATATATCGATTGATATGTAATTTAAACCTTTGTCAAAGAATCGATTATTAAGGTGTTCGCTACGAGCACCCTGTTTATCGATCCTTTTCCATAGGTTTCAATGGCAGATCATTCGATATATCGCAAAGCACGCCACGCTACTGATCGCGGAGGATGTAAAACAAGACGGAAATGGAGTGCAAAAACAATTTATACGCTCGGGACGAGATTTACACGGGCAAAAACGAGGAGTGGCTAACGTGACGCAGAACTTTACACTAATTACAAGAGACTCGGCCGGGAGAGACCACCTCCGGGACAAAAACTCGGAGCGCGGAGGGAGCCTCCTACCGGACTTCCGTATCGGATTTAGCATGGTGCCTCATGAGCTTGGGTTGGTGGGCGCTCGTCAGCGGCTCCGGTCTCTTCCCGAACTTATCGTGGAACAGCGCGAAAGCCTCGTTGCAGTTTTTCTGGAACTCTGCAACAAATAGAAAATGCCATCGTGAGAGTTAGAGATAGCCTTGGTTGTACGTACATGAATGCTATACATGCCGAAAATTAATCTGCCCTGGAAGCAGCGTTGTGATGGAGTGATTTATTGGCTACGTCCATCGGTGTAGTCAAAAAGGCGAGATATTTTCAGAGGAAAAACATCGCATTTGAGTGCAGTTTTGACAGCAGTATCGAATGCTGTATTTTTCCTCTAAAAAACGAAGCCTTTTTCATCACGCTGAATTTCTTTGTCAAATTTGGTATACGAATTCTTTAGTCTCATGATAACAGAAGTGCGATCTCAAAATTGGAAGAAAATGACAAGTAGCTGAAGTATGGAACGATGCGATATACCGCACGTCGCTTTGTCACAAAAAATGACAGCAGTCGAATCACCTTAATATCGCAGATTATTAAAATATTACAATATGAAACTTCCTTTTCTCTGTGGGAGGAAACACGAGAAGAAGTAAGAAAAGCCTTAAAAAAGGAGTTGACCTCACGTCCTGACCGCTTTCCTTTAGATCAGGTTGGCTCGTAATGTCAAAGGATCCTTCCGATTCCTGACCGCGCGTTTTCTTTCATGTTGTAAATTTTATTTCCTTCCTCCACCTTCACGTCCGCGCGCGGGAATCGGGTTTCAACTCAAACTCGGGAAAGTTTTGTGCAGAGAGACGAAAGAATGCAATATGAGACGCTTGCAGCGCTGCCACTGAGATCCGTACGATCAAGGTTGTTTTTCTGCGGTACGTCAAGTCTGAAGGCACTTCAAAATTAAATCTTTTGGAGAGCAAAAATTCTCGAGATGGTTTAAGTTGCGCGCGTCGTGGTGTCGTGCCTCAATGATTGTGCAATCTCCCGCCAAACCATTCGCAAATCGAAGTTCTACCGAAAAAACTTTTGCGCTTTTCTAACTGAAAAGTTCAAGAATTTTTATCCAAAGGATAGCAAATTTTTGGACAGAAATTCCGTTCCTCCATCTCGGGAACGAAGAGAATAGCCGTGTCTCCTACGGCAGCGGGAAACATGTGAAATTGAAATTCATAGACATAGCGTAGTGAAGGAAGTCGACGGGGAAATTGAGCGATTCTTTTGGTTGAAACGGATGATGGTTATGGACAGTGAGAGAAATTGATCGACTGACTGTAGGGTTTCTCTTGGGTTGCCACATTAGTAAGTCTATTAATTACCTTTATTGTCCACTGAAACCACCAGCTTCCATCGAAACATCACTCCATTTTCCTTGTCTATCGCTTTGTCTTTAAATATCAAGAATCGGTCGGCCGATCCTAAAACACTTACTTACTAACTGATCAGCGCGTTTCAATTTGCGCACTTCTTCTCTGGCAAGCAAGTTTCCGTGATACAACTATTCGAACTCCGGCGTGTTGCGGAGTATCATCGTTATTTGAAGGCGTTTTGAAAAACGAAAGAAATAAACATGCGAGTACTTGTACGGTCGGCGCTTTCCCTCATTACAGCATCGTTACGCGATTGTGCGTAACGAAGCGCAAAGCGCGTTGCAAAAGTCACGCTTATGTTGAACCTACTGCAACTCTACTACACTAAGAATTCCTGTCAAGAAGCGAAAAAACGTTTAATAAAATTGATCACTTTATTTCAAATCGTTTATTCCGTGAAAATATGGGGCATCAATGTAAATCCAAATGTGTCTCCCTCCTCAATTCAGAATTCAAAAAATTCACTTAGCCGCGGCACTAAAACGGCGTTGAGGTTAAAGCGCGGTATCCTGAAAAAACAACAACATATTTTCTTCTCTATTTCAAAATGACCTGAGAGACGGCCGCAATTTTATAAACGCGCCGACTGGGTGAATAAAACTCTTTCAAATTAATTAGCACCGAATTGCCGAGGGTCGGACACAGGGCGTAAATACGTCGAAAGTGGTGGCCGGGAGCGCAAAATTGCTCTTCTCTTCTTTTTCAATTTTCGGTCCTAACCACAACAATCAAATAACTCGCAATTATCGTCAGCTATAACCATCGATTTTCGGGGGAAAATATAACAATTTATTTCAACGTCTCGCGAGTGGTTGCCGGTTCTTAATAATTTTAAATTGCGTCATTGAAATCAGAGTGCAAGGGGTATTTTCATGACATTTTAGAACAATAATACCCACTTAAGTCAAAATCATCGAGAGTAATGGCGGTATATAGTTCGCAAATAAAGAGACATTAGTTGAACATTTTTTGTTTAAAAATTCACTTTATCTGATAAAATTGTGAATTTTTTCTTTAAATTATTCAGAGAGTACCATCCGCACTTTATTTTGTTAAAGTGTCAATAAACTCCACGGGAATGTTGCGACATGTTTATCTATCATGAGAAATTATCGTTGTCTAATTCGACTCAATGGAGACTCTTCTTCGTATTAAGTTGAATTTCTCACAGCAGAAGTACGTCAATTTTGAACTATAGAAATGACAACTTTCCCTCTGACGAAACGCAAAAATCTGAGAAATTTCGGATGGAAGTAGCAGTAGTAGCACGACCATATTTTTGGAAAAAAGTTAATTGTTTGAATGATTTTAATGATCTTGGACTTAGATACACGTAATTTTACGATGTTTGGTCACTTGTCAGGGTGTCTCCAAATCCGGAAACAGCACTGATTTTTTAAGGACGATCCGGAAGTACTGAAAAAGTGCGGAAATTCCGCAAGGAGCTCCGGAATTTTTGTCATTCTTGTCGCAATTTGAGAGAGAAATTCAAATTTTTGTAATTTTTTTAATTTCGTCAAATGAAAGTACTGGAAAAGTACTAAATTTTTCTGTTAAGGAGGTATACTGTTTCTCGGGAATGTACCGTAGAAATACTGATTTTTGGCCTTAGTAGACACACTGCTTGTGGAGAAATGGCGACGTTAGCACTGTAAAAAAAATACTCCATTTGGAAAAATTTGGCAACGTCCGAACGGTCATACGCAGTTTTTCATTACCACGGCTGTAATATGTTCCGTGAAGCGCTCGCTCGGTTTGCGGTCAAGTTGTTGACGAACCACCCGCACCCGTGCGGACTGGAGTCGCGGGTTACGGACCCAACGAATCGATTTAATTGAAAGAATAACTAATCAAGAGGGCCGGGGCCGTGTGCGGACAAGCGCTCAAGCGCGGCTTTTAATTTACTCGGCGTTACGCCACAATTACGCCACGCTTACACGCTCCGTTAAATTTTATTATACATGAGTAACGCGCGGCCACGGTTCGCAACGCAAACGTCGCCATTTCTCCGCTGGTGACCGCACATCGTAAAAGGATGTATCTCCATCCAGAGTCAGGTCCGAGGTTGTTCAATCGATTCAAACAGTTAACTTTTTTTCATGAAAATGGCTGAAGCCTATGAAGTCAGAACTCCTTCAAATTTATCGCGTATGCAATTTGCACTCCGGAGAGTCAAAATGTTGTATCTCATTCTGAAGTCACAGCACAAGTCGTCGGTTCCCTCACGAAAGAACTTAACCCCATTTCAATGTTGCCAAATTTCTCCTCGCAAATCACCCATTAATCGAGAGAATATTGGTCATTTCTAACTTGAAATTTCACCGACCCTTCCCTAGATTCCACGCGAAAATCGGAAAAATTTTGGATAAACATTTATCACGTACATTTATGGAAAATAAATTATTTGTTTTAGTCAATTTGGCAACATTAGAATGAAGTTACGTTCCTTTGTGCGGGAAACGACGAATTGTCCACCGGCAGCCAAGAATGCCTTCAATTTTGCCGCGTATGCAATTTGCGCCCCATTACGCGCATCCATTAACGAGTATTACGTAACGCACTTTTTCCGATTGTTTGACCCCC